AACCCACAACTACAAACTTTTAGGAGTCCATGTTGGAAAGAACATCAGAAGGCCTTGTTTTAAAAGTTCTTCAAACCCAGAATGCCTCTATGTATGAACCCAGCCGTACAAGTAAGAGGTACTTGTAAGTACCCAGCAACCCCTCTGCATTTTTGTTATATGTTCATATAACCAAACTTGCAGTTGGGTCTCGGTGAACTCGATTGGCCGCTGGGCATACATCTCCGGTAGCAGCTGGGCAAAGTGCCGCGCGTAGCAGAAGGTGTACTCCCTAGGGGAGGACAGAGGGAGTTCTACATAAGGAGGTTTTGTGCAGTAACTGTGACTTTTTCAGTTCAACTAGGATAAATTAAGCCAGGGAGCTGAGTCGGCTTTAGGTTGTTGTTCGCAGTCCAACATTCCTTGCCGTCCTTCATAGTCCTCGTTACCGTTGTTGCACTGTTCTCTTTCTCCTCCTGAGTCAGAGGCCCTAGATCAAGTCGGTAGATGCGATCCGAGCTCGACCACAGCCACGTTCGCTTCCAGGTAAACGACTGAAACTTTCTCATCCACATGGATACTTTGTAAGTCTCAGCTAGCCAAGCAATACAGCAGACACGATTCGATGCTTGCCCATGCACACACATGCTAGCTTACACACAATTTAATTGCTGAAAGGACACTGTGACACCACAAGCCAGCAGTGCACGTAGGAATTGAACGTAGCGGTCATGCAAGGCTATCAGCGAACCCTGGGGGTTCTCCAAGACATAGTGGCCACCAGCTGCGATGACCAAGTACATGAGGATTGTACTCCTGTGGCAGGATTACAGAGCGGTTTGTGTTAAGGTATGTTTTTCCATATATGGGGGTGCACTATCGATCGATGTTTCAATGGCACACCTAGCTGGTCTGCTACTCCTGTCCACACTAGCAGTTAACTTGAACTCCATGTGTCCTTGCCATGAGCTTGTTTCCCCGGCGGACACTAACCACAGACTCATCACCACGAGGGCACATGTAGCTGCGCTTGGAGGTCCCACGATTGATTGGGACGAAGCTCGAACAAACAACCCCAAAGGCTGCCACGAGCTGGTCCAGCTTCGAGCGCAAAACCAAGGATATAGCGAGCCTTGGCAGAACACCGTTTTACGGCTTATAGTGTACATATAGAGGGTGTATATGTGTGTGTGTATATATATATGTAGACATATATATGTCTATATATAGATATGTACATATATAGGGTCTATAGTTCTATAGACTGCTGTATACTTATACATGTGTACTCACACAAAGGTAAATGTTGTCGGGGTTTAACAAAGTGTTTCTTGTAGATGCAAGTTCCTAGGTTTTGCAAAGCCACCCAAGCGAATTGGCCAATGGTTACATAATAGGACCTTTAGTTGCTCGACAAGTAACACCATCCCCGCATTGGAGTTCAGGTCCATGGAAGATCTTTTGCCCTTTCTTGTAGCACGCTTCTCCCCGTAACACTTGTCGAAAGCTTGTACACGGAATCCTGCTGCTTCAGCCATCAAAGCCAAGCGAGCTTTCCCTGCAAAAAAATTCCAAGAATTGGATTCCTGAGTCTGGGGAAATGTCCAGCCACCATACCAGCAGGACCAGGAAGATGATCACCTGGATGGCACGTGATCGTTACCGAGCATTTGGGAAGTAAGGAACGGTTCTGAGGGTTTTACTCAGTATTATGCCTGGCTTTCCAGTCTTCCATGCACTCTACGACTCAGGCAGACTGAAGAAACCAGCCTTGCACAAGACAGGTATGTACACAAATGTTCACGTACTCATCTACACTCACGGAGAGAGAGAGAGAGAGAGAGAGAGAGAGAGAGAGACACACAGACAGACACACGAATACATGTGTGTATATATATATATATATATAGACGTGAAGACACACACACACACATCTAACGCACATAGATACAACAACATAACATGCACATGTAAATATATGTGTACTCGTACTATACATATATATATAAATATATATATGTATATACACATATAGCACACGACTCTGCTTTAGTGACTTGCCAAATATAAGCCTCCGGACCTTGGGCGCTCCTAGGCTGAAGAGGCGCCGAAGAAAGACATCGAACTCTGCAGGGGACATGGCTGCAAGGGCTCCGACAAGAGGCTTGGCTGGGAGTTTCTATGCCAAAACTATCCATTACGAAGCCTTCGCAGTGGTTTCAATGTACGAACACATCTATGGGTGCATATACATGTATCTAGAATTCAACATATTCACATATATACACATATATAAGTGTATGTCTATACAAGGACATGTATAAGAGTTTGTAATTGTTTCTAGAAATACATGTGCATGTTTGTATATGTACAAGTAAGGTATCTATTTCTTTGTACGGTTTGTCTATAGGGCTTCAGAGAGTTTCTAAGTTATACATGTATAGGTGTGTGTATAGATATGAATATGAATATATACATACATATAAGCACACATACATACATACATACATACATACATACATAGAGAATGGTTTTCCTTAGGAGAACAGTTTGCATACACACACACAATATATATATATATGTATGTATGTATGTATGTATGTATGTATGTATACTTATGCATATATATATATGTATATATTCATTTATATATTTATTGTTCTGTACATAGTACCTTTGCTTTTAAATTTGCGTCCATCGAAGGTCCAATTTCGGGAGGATCACCACACATGCTTCATGGGGAGATGACCACTATATACAGGCATTGCACTAATTGTGATCCGACTGGGGGCTTCGCTGTACCCCGAATGATCGCAAACGGCTTCTGCAAGGTCACACACCTACTTAGGGATCGGGTGTCTGTGCGCATACCCGACTTGTCACAGGCTCATAGTCAAAAGAAACGTACAGCTCCCAAGAAGGCCTTTCATAGAAAGCCCAGAAGCAACTGAATATCAAACCCATTATAAAGCGTGTATATATGTCTCCATATAAACCTTCTATGTGTATTTATAAACACCAATAAAAAAGCATATATGTATATATAGGCAGGTAGACGCTACAAGTATAGGTCCAGCTTATGCAAGGCCCAATTGAATCTTATAAAGCCTCAACGAGATCCTCGACACTGAAACCCACGAAGACAGCAAGGGCTTGTAGGGTTTATTTGTATATATATGTGCAGGTTTATAAGGGCTTATAGGGAAGGTTTATAGGAATCTAGGGCGTTATTTCTAGGGTTTATAGAATCTTCGAGACTTGATCGAGCCTTTTTACCTTAAGCCCCCCACAGGACCTGTTGTTGCCTGCCAGGCATTCCTGCTGGAGAACCTTTGAAAATCTATATATATATATATACATATATATATATATACATACACACCTTGTAAACCCGTACAAAGAAAAACCTCCTGTTCCCGAAAACCCATGCTAAACCTTTATATATGTATGAATATTTATATTTAGACTTCTTTCTTTGTTTTCTCGAAGTGAATCCCCATGTTTATAGGGTTTGCGTTAGGGGTTTACAAGGGTTTATAGGGGTTTGGGGTTTATAGGGCGTATAGAGGTTTTATTAAGGGTTTATATATATATATATAGGGGTTTATAAAGGGTTTAAAGGGATTAGAGGTATTCGGGGTTTATAGGGGTTTATAGGGTTTATAGGGCACAGAGGTTTTAATTGGGGCTTTAATCGTTTATAGGGTGAGTTCCAGGGAAGAGCAGATTTCCGGGGATGTCACGTTGGGGACCACGGATTGGGAGCATCTGCTGCGGTTGAAGCTTTGAAAGCTTTGGGTTCCGAAGTGGTTTCAGTCCTCAGCCTTAACCCCAAACCCCCTCACACGCTAATCAAGGCAACACGAACACAGCCAGTGGCCAGGGGCATGTTGCAAAATAAACAGCTTGAAACCTAGGTACAACCACAACTCGGCCGAACCCACTCCCCAGCCCCCCGTATAAATCTACCCAGTAGAAACCAGTAGATTTTTACATCCAACCGAGGTTTCACTGCAGGGGGCACTCTCATCCGGCCCCACGCCGAACTTCCAGAGATTCACGCTGCCGCGCGGCATTCGAAAGCCTGTGGCACAGGAGGCAGCTTGCACTGGGTTATTGGTTTCAGCAATGCACGCAAGCAACAGCTTCCCGAGAAGTCTTCATACGACCACGATTCCGTTCGTGCGAGCTCAGCACTAGACGACCTCATGATATCCGATTTTTTCCACGCCACTCGTGTCAGATGCGTGTAGACACTGGCATGAAGGCTTCGAACCCTAGCTCATGTCTGCACATGTCCTCTTGCAGGAACACACAGACCTATCACATGGTCGCACACGGCATCGAGTTATCACACGACGCCAGCAAAAGCAGCGCATTGCACACGCTTGAAGCAGAATAGAGGCTACAAGATGCAGCTCGCTCGTCCTCATCATAACTGCCTGCACTCGTGCCACTAGAAGAGTAGCTGCAAAATGCAGCTCGTTTTCATCAAAACTGCCTGCCCTTAGCAATCCCTGTGGTTGCTTGGGGGTGCCTACTCGAGGGTTCCCAGGGCGATCTGCATGAACTTTGGGACCCTGGGGCGCAGCTGGTCCTCGTAATCAGTCATGCTCCTCACGGTGTCAACATCATCGTTCTGGAACAGACGCGAGGCGAGGTTCCACCAAGGTTCCTGCGCCAGGGAGACTTCGATCAGGGTTATGTAGGGTTTATATATGTAGGGCCTTTTTGAGGTTTACACGTATATAGGCTGCATATATCTATATATATATATGTGTGTGTGTGTACATGGTTTATATTCTGTATATATATAGGGTTTACATATATGTATATACCTGTGTATATCTATCTATATATATATATGTATATATAGATAGATAGATAGATATCTATATATATATATGGGCTTACAGGGTGAAGCAGCCTTATATCAGAAAATGCTATATGGGACAATACATGGTACCTCTAAATAAATAAATAAAAATATATATATATATGTGTGTGTGTGTGTTTATGTATTAATATATTTTCACACCCAGCACCTCCCAGCAAGACATGGGAAGCTCAGCTTCCTCAAGCTTTGGCACAATCTCCGACTGGAACACCCGCACAATGGCTTCCCAACGCAAACAGGCTGGAATCGTTGGGGGCCTTCGCCTTCTTGCAAAAACCCCATCGTCGCCGTCGGTCTTGTTAGGCCTACCGGGGCGGCCCGGCTTCTTCTTCGGTTGCCCTTTTGCTTTGGCTTTCACCTTGGCTTTAGCTTTGGGTGCACTTTTGGCCTTCCCTTTCGCTTTCGCTTTCGCTTTTGCTTTGGCCTTGGGCCGGACTGGCGACTCATTCTCCTCACTTGGATCATGAATCTCACTCCCGGAACCTTCCGCACCACTTGGATCATCCTCGTCAGCCTCCTCGTCTGAAGACTGTGCCTCCCTTGGATCACGGCTCTTGCCATTGACTCGTCTCGTCAACTTCTTGCGCCCACCATCCTCTTCCTCTTGCTGCTCTTCCTCTGGCACTTTCCTCTTCTTAGGCACGTTCTTGCCACGGCTCTTCGGGATCTCCTGTTCTTCCTCCTCTTCCTCCTCTGGCACTGGCACTAGCTCCTTCTTGCTCGCGTTCTTGCCACGGCTCTTGGGGATCTCCTCTTCCTCCTCCTGTGACATCTCCTCTTCCTCTTCCTCTTCCTGCTCTTCCTCCACTGCCACTGGCTTCTTCTGAGGGGGCTTCTTGCCACGCTTCTTGGGGATCTCCTCTTCCTCTTCCTCCTCTTCCTCTGGCACTGGCTTCTTCTTAGACGGCTTCCTGCCACTGGCCTTGGGGATCTCCTCTTTCTCTTCCTCTTCTTCCTCCTCTTCCATTGGCTTCTTTTTAGGCGCCTTCTTGCCACGGGCCTTGGGGATCTCCTCTTCCTCTTCCTCCTCTTCCTCCTCTTCCTTTGGCACTCGCCTCTTCTTCGGCACGTTCTTGCCACGGCTCTTCGGGATCTCCTCTTCCTCTTCCTCCTCTTCCTCCTCTGGCACTGCCTTCTTCATCACCTTCTTGCCACGGCCTTTCTTCGGGATCTCCTCTTCCTCCTTTGGTGCTGGCCTCTTCTTAGGCACGTTCTTGCCACGGCTCTTCGGGATCTCCTCTTCCTCTTCCTCCTCTTCCTCCTCTTCCTCCTCTGGCACTGGCCTCTTCTTCAGCACGTTCTTGCCACGGCTCTTCGGGATCTCCTCTTCCTCTTCCTCCTCTTCCTCCTCTGGCACTGCCTTCTTTGTCATCGCTTTTTTGCCACGGCCTTTCTTCGGGATCTCCTCTTCCTCTTCCTCCACTTCCTTTGGCACTGGCCTCTTCTTCGGCACGTTCTTGCCACGGCTCTTCGGAATCTCGTCTTCCTCTTCCTCCACTTCCTCTGGCACTGGCTTCTTCTTAGGCGCGTTCTTGCCACGGCGCTTCGGGATCTCCTCTCCTTCCTCCATTTCCAATTCCTCCACTTCCAAGTCGATTGCTGTCAACGGCATCTTCTTCAACCGGGCATCACGGCCACTACCAGCGCTTTTGCTGTGTGGATTCCCGATATCCTCATCCTCCTCTTCCTGCTCCTTCCTGCTTCGGCTTTCCTCCCCAGTCACTTTCTTTGCTGCACCCGTTGCCGCCTTGTTCCTTTCGGACCTCCTCCGCGCAGGCTCGTCATCTTCACTTCCTCCTGCCCTGGCAGCACTCTCCAGGACACGCCTGGATGCCTCAGCCTCCTGTGGCACGTGCAAGGGGCAAGGTTTATATGTGCACGGTTTTAAAGTTGTATGTGTACATACATATGTATACGGGGTATTGATGACGTCACTTCTGCACTCGATCAAGCTCAGCAGCTTTGCAGTAACCCAGCATGTGTTGGAAGCCCCAAGCAAGATTCCTAGAAAACCCATGAACTTCTGAAGCAGCACGTGCCTTCCCTTTTTTGTTTCCCTTCAGGTCCAGGTCCAGGTGAGGCAGGATCTCCTCAGGAGGATGACACACATGCAAGACTACATACCCATCAAGAAAAGTATGCCCTAATGTGCAAGTCTACAAGTAACAGGTACCTGCTACTCACCCTAGATCACAACCACTTGTAAAAGGTTCCGACATTGGGGAATGTTGGTGCATGCATGTGTTAATTTGTGTGTTTGTGTATTTCTGTGTATGTATGCATGTATGTATGTCTGTATGTTATATACATATATATAAATATATAATATCTCTCTCTGTATGTTTTTGTATATTTGTATATATGCATGTATGTATGTATGTATGTATGTATGTATGTATGTGTATATGTATGTATGTTTGTATTTATGTATGCATGCACGCATGCATGCATGCATGTGCGTATGTATGTACGTACCTGGGTATGTCTGCATGTGTGTATACAGTACAAAAGCAAACCATGTATATGTTAGTTCGTTGTTTTTCTACACACACAAGTCATATAAGTACCTCTGTATGACAAATGCACACATGCATACACGTATGAATATATATATATATATATGTTAGATATGCATATACCGGCATACATACACATACATGATTGTAAGTAAGTACATGTATGTGTGTGTGTGCGTCTACATATGTACGTATATACCATGTGTGTATATATATATATATACATGTATATATGTTAGTACTGTGTGTATGTTGCATGTGGGCATATCTTGTTGCGACTAACATCCAAGCTTAAACGTTCTTTAGCACCTTGTAAGCACAATGAGATTTACCGTTAAGTTAATGTTAAGACCACGTCCAAGTAAGTACCTGCATAGAAGCATCCACAAAAACTCTCGATTGTTCCTCCCTCCAAAGGCTTGAAATCTCTCCCCACGACACCCCGAAAACAGTCCTGAACTCGGGCAGCCATTGCATCCTTCTCCACATCGGTAAGCGGGGGAAGTTCACACTCATCCGCCAAAATGGGCTGCTCGAACAGGTAGCGCTTCGTGTGGTCGGAGCTGTGTAGTCTCTCCGCTCGCTGCAACTTTTTGGCCAACTCGTGGTCTTTCTTGCTTGAGGGTTCTGGGGTTGATGTCCTTCGGGGTGGCGTGCATGGCGGTGTCGTGGGCTTGCCGCCTTTCTTGACAAGCTCCTCGTAGTTGGGATCCGGTCTCAGCTTGTTTCCCCTATCCCTTTGCTGAAACTGACCCACCCGACTAACGACGGGAATCTCGTCCTCCTCCTCGAAGAGCGCGAGGGTCTCCGCGAGGCCGTTGTCCCCACCTGCTTGTTCGGTTGCTTCCAGGCACATCGTCGGAATGCTAGCATTTAGCAGGAATCGCATCACCCCAATTTTAACCCACATGATGTATGTAATTCATCGAACACACTGCCTGCGGAAGCTGCGGCTGGGCTTTCCCCAATTTCTTTCATATTCTTGCTGGCTTCCTCCACAGCGGCTGTATCCACCTGCGTCTCGACTTGGGTGGCATCCACTGCGCCCACAATCATCCCGTAGCCATCATCACAGCAGGCCCTTGGTTGCTCTTAAAATTCGAGTCTTCTCTTTAAACGGAAAACACCACAAATAGATACCACAGTAACACAGTCATCACCAAGGGCACAGTCATCACCAAGGGCACTTCTTTCAGTAGGGGTAGTAGTAGCACTACTAGTACTTAGTCGTCACCGTCATCGTGATCGTCATTGTGGTGGTAGTGGTATAGTAGTATCAGTATTATTATTATTGTTATTATTACGGTTATTATTATTACTCGTAGTAGTCGTCATAGTAGTAGTAGTAGTAGTAGTAGTAGTAGTCGTGGTACTTGTACGAGTATACTGGTAATAGCAGCGCTCGCAGAAGAACAAGTGTTATGATTTGTGTTAAAGAGTCTCATTGTCATGTTTCTGGTTCCACTAAGCAGGATCGTTATATATCGATAAACATATCATAATGTACCTATGTGCTACGACAAACATGTACATAAGCATCTACAGAAGTCCTTCATTGATATTTATGTGAGCGAAACTCCTTGCTCAAGCCCCCATGTAGAGACCACACAACTCCCACTCATCACGTTGGCAGGTGAGCACAATGTGATTTGACAGACTCCACTGAACATGCTTTTCCTCATCCCTTGTACAAATCCTATCCCAATCGAAATCATGTATGCTGATATGTGCAGGCTGGGCACCTGAGATACTCAATTTTTTCCTGGATTTCTTCCACGGAAAGGTTGTCTTCTGGTAGAGCCTTGAATTCTTGCTCTTCCAGTTTCTCGTCGTCGTCGTCTTCCACCTTGATAACGTCATCGATCGACCGCTTCACTTGTGTTCCCGGAGAAGCGGTCGTGAGGTCGATGACGAGCAACTTGGGGGCTTTGGACAAATCAGGGAGGAGTTTGCCCCATCGTCCCAGGACGACTTTATAAAAGTCATCAACTCCCGGCTCCTGCCATACTCTCCACGGCATGCACGAAACACATATGCAGCATACCCAGAAACAATCCAACAATGCTTTCAATTCACGTTTAGCCTGGGGGCAAATCAGAATCCCCATGCACACAAATGTGCACATGCAGGTGTGTGGACACAGAAATGTATGCATACATCTACACATACATACATACATACATACATACATACATGCATGCATACGAAGATATACACACATGCCTGGATGCATGCACAGAAGTATGTGTGTGTTTATGCACATATGTATGTGTACACTTGCACATAAACTTAACAACATCTGCAGATAGTAATTGTATACAACTGTAGAAAAGGTCTATAGAGATGTATTACACCCGGTGGAACAGACACCCCAGCGTGGGAACAACAAACAATATACATATATAAATATATATGTGTATACATGTGTGTATATATAGATCGATATGCGGGTTTTGATGGCCCCACATGCACGCGTGCATGCACGTGTACATGCATAGTCTACTTCAAATTCTTGCACATAGTCATCTTTCAAAACTTTTCGATCCCACTCAGTCCTTCCTAGCCCCGATCTTGACACCCCAACGGCGCAGAGCTGTACTGAAGAGCTTCTTCAGGCCCCAGCAATCCAGGTGCAGTTGCTGTCGTGTTTGCTCGATGGACATCAGGGATCCAAACCTCTTCACCTGGGAAGGGGATTTGAGGATATAATATAGCTGGCACATCTTTGGCATGTATGTAGGAAAATGAACGTAGGAGCATCTGCATGCAAGACATGCAACACGAACCATAACAGTTAACATTTTCTCAACACCCCGACCTCCTTTCGGATCCATGCAATCGGAGGTGCCCGCACCGAGTCGGTCTTGTGAGCGCAATACACGTCCGCGAACAAGCACATCACACGAGTGTTGTGGCCTAAGGCACTCAGTGACGGCAAGCCCATCCGATCCTCGCTCTTCCAGCCCAAAAGAGCTTTTCGTTCCCTGAAAATCTCTCTCACGAACTTGCTCTCCTCCAGCGCATCTGCGAGGGGAGCTTCGAAGGTGCATGGCTTTGGCATCGCCCGAAATGTGCTCCCCCTTGGGAGATGCACAACTATGTCAAGGCTGCAAACACAGCCTTGCACCGCACAGGTTGACACACGGATCTCTGTAGAATCATGTTGTGAAGTATGTGCCGAAACTCTACATACATACATACATACATACATACATACATACATAAATACATACATACATGCATACATACATACATACATATACATGCATACGTACATACATACATACATACATATACATACATATACATACATACATACATACATACATACATACATGTTTTGCTTTTACCCATGGATCGATCATTCGTTCTCGTGCTCTCTCCCCCTCATCCTCTTTTTTCGAGCAAGCGACGACTCCAGACAGCACATAAATTCAGTCGTATGCAACATGTGCGAGCGGAGAATCTTGATTGGACAACAGTTCCCCATAGCACCCTGCATAAGCATCCCTGGCCTGGTCAGGCTCCGCATCGTGCCCAGCCGATCTCCGGCCCAGCGTGCTCAAAAAAAGCTGTAGATTTCCATGCCGGGGGTTTGCAAACCCATATATTGAACTAGCAGTACTGATGTGAAAAGTCTCATCATGGCAGATTCTGCAAGAACTATTGAACTAGCAGTACTGAGGTGAAAACTCTCAACATAGCATGTTCTGCAAGAACTGATCCCGATTCTTTGGCCCCGAGCCTCAGAAAGTAAAGATTCGCCTTCCGCTGACAGTAAACGCCTGCGACAGTACAAAGGCGTTTTCACCGCCAAAGGCGGAATAAAGAACACCACAGGAAGTTGCAGGTAGGGTTCAGGGTTGATGTTCTTGCAGGGCCTTCCTTCCATACTGGTGGTGCATAGATAGCGGGGTCTTAGACTTATCAGGGAACCTTATGGAACACAACCCTAAACCCTAAAACGCTAAACCCCATAAACCCTAAAACTGTTACAACTTATTCAGGGGCCTATAGACTTCTGGACCCTCTTGGTAAGATGTGAAGCCCTGAAAGGCCCTGGAGCCCCGAGCCCAGCGGGCAATGCGAGTCGGTCCAAGCGACTCGGTTCTTCGATTCACTGGGGAAAAAACGCAGAAAGCAAACCAAAAATCGCCTCACTTGAGGGTTTAGGGGTTTAGGTTTATCCCCTCACTTTAACCCTTATAAGATCCTAGAAGACCCTGATAAGCTCGAAACAAACCCTTGCAGGCACACTCTTCGACCTCGCAATAACAACATGCTAGAAAATCCGGAAAAGGCACCCATGAAACAACTCAACGCACCCCTATACGAATCAAAGGAGAAACCATCAACTTTACCCTGAAAACACCCTATACAACCCTTGAAATCACCGTATGCAGCCCATCTAAATCCCTCAGACAATCTTGAAACGCCCGGAACAACACGCTTTGACAATACCCTATACAACCCCCATGAAATCCCTAGAAGACCACCAACAAAACCCTTGAGCGCACCCTGTGCAACCCCTATCAAACCCCAAAAGATCGTAGAGAAGAATACCAGCCAAGACACGGCTGACCGAAGTACGGCGCCTGGATTAGCGGGTTTAGGGTTTAGGGTTGAGGGTTATAGTAAACCTCAAACAAGTTGGAAACCGGATAAAGGACAATTCGTGGTGGGATTCACTACACATCACTCTTTAGGGATTGAGGCTAGTGGGTTTCCAACTTTTAGGCTTCTACTGTAGAGAACTCAGGACTGTTAACTTTCTTGCCCAGGCCTGGGGCGGGGAAAAGAAGAAATGGGTACAATAAACAGCAAAGATTGTAAATCACCCCTCTTTCATCGAAAAGAACACGGAGAAAGCACCTATTTATAACCAAAAATGGATCAAAAACACTTTTTTCGGAGGAAGCACCGGCGAGCAAACCAGGTTTTGGAGAAGATCCCCGGTCACCCGGCCAAAAACTCAGCACAGTTCTGCGAATTTTCGCTTGCCATGTCGCCAAAACAAACCTCTCGCCTCCACAACACAAAACACCCATGTCCGGATAAAAATTGTGGATTTCGGAAATCTGAACCCCCCTCAGCCTAATACAAGAAAGCCGTAGGACAGACTACCATACGTATTCCCCAGATTCAGGCTTTGGAGACTCTCAAAGTTCAGGAGCATCTATAACCAGAAATATAAAAAAAAGACACGTTTCACGCCAAACAAGCAGAGAGAGTGTGATAAAACGAAAGACGTTTTCTCTGAATGCAGAAAACCATGTGTTCCTGGATTGTTCGGTGTCCTGAAATGATCCCCGAGTCAATCCCGAAGGGGACTTGCCCTTGAATTCGCTTTCACACCGTCTTGTGAGTGGAGAGAACTGAGAGAATGTCAGAGACGGTCATAAACACTGCCTTACAGCCTTACAGCCTTCATGAGATTTGTTTGAAGCGACGTCTCGGGGCTTGGGAGGCTTGGGAGACAGACCCGGGCCCATGGCACAGGGTCGTTTACCTTTGTTTTGTCAGAAGTGCTTTGGTTTGTGCCTTGTTTTGGGGCAGCTGAGTCAACACACTCATGGGGCTCAAGGTCCTACAAGAGGTTTAGAACACTTCTCATGCTCCTAAAACCAGACCCGCAAGAAAGTTAGCCCTCCGGGTGGCACATACAGAACTCAATAAGGACATGAATCAACAAATAGATGAACAAATAAGTAAATAAGCAAATAAATAAGTAAACAAAAATAAATATGTATGTATGTATATATATATACATATATACACATACACATGTATGTATGTGTATATATATATATGTATAGATATATATATATATATGTTTATTTATTCATGTAGATCTCTATCTGCCTATATATATACACACACGCACGCATAGTTCGAGATTGTTTCAATATGTATGTACATCCATCCATCCATCTATCCATCCAGGCAGACAGCCAGCAGCCACTCAGCCAGCAGCCATCCAGCCATACAAACATGTACATTAACATATACATATACACGTGTGCGTGTATATATATAATATTATATATATATATAGAGAGAGAGAGAGAGAGAGAGAAAGAGAGAGAGGGAGAGTTAGAGAGAGAGCAAAGAGACCGAACACACTGCAGCCCGTTTGCTAGGAGTGCCCTGAACCCTGCACTAAACCCCTAGACCTTGAGCTGCCCCATGACCAAGGCAAACTCAATATGACAAGCAGTTCAGGGTTTAGGGTTTACCCATAGGCCCCTAAGTACTTCCTTTTTGGGATTACCTTATAGGAGTCTAAACATGAACCATAAAAAGGAACTACTTAGGGGCCTATGGGTAAACCCTAAACCCTCAACCCTAAACCCTAAACCCTAATCCCTAAACCCTAATCGGGTCTTGGGCTTCGGGTTTTTCAAAGACACAAAGATGAAGGAAGCGTCAGCCTCAACCCCAAACCTGGCACCTGAGACACACCCTTAACCCTAAGCCCTAAACCCACCCACAAGAATAACAATAATAATGATAATGATAATGATGATGATAATGATAATGATAGTAATGATAGTAATGATAATAATGATAATAATGATAATAAACATCATCATCATCATAGTAGTAGTAGTAATACTAATAATAATCATAATGAAGGCGGGCCTGTCTTTCGTCATGGGGCTCTGGTGCTGAGACCTCGGCAGGGATGTTCTGGTTTCTAACAAAAACGTCGCCCTCCTGTTTAAGGTTGGTGGGCTTTAGGGTTTAGGGGTTTAGGGTTTAGGGTTGCTTCACTACGCTATATTATGTACAAGTATGACTACTACCTTCTACGATTGAACAATCATCGTGATGATGCGGAGTAAGAACTCTCCAGTCGTGATGCTGTGGTTCTCATTAGGCTATGTTCTTGCGCTGTCTTGACTGTCGCGAAGCTTCTAGTTCAGGGACAATAGGAGGGACCCCTAGAAGGGACCCCTAATCCTCATACCCTATATAACCCTGATATACCCCGTATATAGTGTCCCCAAACCCCCTATA